TTTTCCAGCCGCCTCCTGAAGCCTGGTGGAGGCTATTATCCATGTATTTTCCCCTCATCCTGTACCTGCATGTTTGTTTGTTTGTTTGTTTGTTTGTTTATTCTTACCTTCCACCCTCAGCACAGCAGCAGTTGTAGCTTCCCCAGCAGGGTTGACTACCCGTGCCATGTATTTCCCCTCATCCTGTACCTGCATGTTTGTTTGTTTGTTTGCTTGTTTGTTTGTTTGTTTGTTTGTTTATTCTTACCTTCCACCCTCAGCACAGCAGCAGTTGTAGCCTCCCCGGCAGGGTTGACGGCCCGTGCCATGTATTTCCCCTCATCCTGCACCAGAACCTCGGGTATAAGCAGTGAACAGAGGTCTCCTTGTATAACAATCTGTAAAGAAAATGTTACAAGATCAGGAAAAGCATAGCCCAATGCAGACAATTGTGGCAGTTTTTCTAAGTTGATACAGAACTCTGACGGGTCGGGCTTGCCGGTGACACGGCCACTCAAATCTTTAAGTAACTGTTTGATAAGTAAATCTATCTGTTCTCACCTTAAAGTCTTCACTTTTGTCTTCACTTTCAGTCACTCAAATCTTTAAGTAACTCTTTAAGTAAGAGATTCTTTATTGACACAAGAAAAAAGTACAGGGACTTTTGTATGGTCTTCTACAACTAAAGACCTAACAAGGCTAAATACATGTTTGGATGACCTCATCATGTATATGGTAACAATAAGTAAATCTAATAGTATGTGTTCTTACCTTAAAGTCTTCACTTTCGTGAATTACGTTGCCGTCGCGGTAGAACACGACGGAGGGTTCGGGCTTGCCGGTGACGCGGCAGACGAGTCCCACGGGGGTCCCCTCAACGCCGCGTGCATCCGCAAGCTCCTGGGTGAACCTGGGTGGTTCCATTCCTGGACCTGGGGGGGAGGGGAACAAAATCAAATACAAAATTTTCAACCTAGCAGTTGTATCATGACAGAATCAAATAGTAGTACAATCACACCTGACCAAGTAGCCACAGACTTAAACCAGCCTCCTGACCACAGTAACCACCCTTTCCTGGTCACGACATTTTTTTCCATAGATGCATATAATTAACTTAGTAACCTGGTGTCTAAGAATTAACTTAGTAACATGCCCGTAGCCAGGGGGGGTTCGGAAGAACCCCCCCACAAGGCTCAAAGGTCCACTTTTTGGTCCACTTTTTATGTAAAGGTCCACTTTTTGGTCCACATTTTATGTAAACGTCCACTTTTTGGTCCACATTTTATGTTAAGGTCCAAGATTTTTCTTGAAAAGATCGACTAGAATCATAGAAAAACTGCTCCCTTTGTCATTGAATAAAAATTTATCTCTGATTTTTTCCTGGAAATCCTCTCCAAAATGCACGAAATGCCATTTTAGAAGGTTCATTTTTCAAAATTTTCCGGGGGAACATGCCCCCGGACCCCCCTAGGAACCTCGCGCCTTCGGCGCTCGCCTCGCGCCTACGGCGCTCGAGGTCCCCTCAATCTGTGGGAAGAACCCCCCCATTCAAAATCCTGGCTACGGGCATGAGTAACCTGTCCCATGGGAGGCCTTCTTGAGTAGATTTGACAGTACATTTAGCCCTGGATACTAGTAGCTTCAGAAATTCTTCGATCTTTTCCAAAATCTTTTCAATATTTTCAGTCCCATCCAGATACTGGGGCACTAAATGCTGTTTGTATAATGTTACCTGGAAGTGTCGGGGCTCATTACTGTAGCCCCACTAATGCCAGTCATCTGGGTTCCGATAGACACAACTATGCAAATTCACCAGTCCGAGAGCTTGTAAGCTTGACCTGGTTTTTAATCACTGTACTAACCCAGGTTATTCACCTAACTTATTGATAAACTGAAGGTTTCAGTGGATTGATAGGGAACTTTCAATGTTACATTTGATGAACAATTTAACAACTTAACTTATCTTAACCAACTCAGATCAATACTAACCAAACTTTTTGATTAGTTAGTTAATTGAAGGTCTGATTGAATTGCAGATAGGGTAGATTCTTGTGTCATATTTTGATAAACAAATCTGATAAAATTCCATAACTTATCAGTATCACCAAAATCAATACTAACCAAATTTTAATCTTTAAGTCAATTGATTACTTAATTAATGGAAAGTCTCAGTGGATTGACAGCTAGTAGGATAGGGGAGATTCCAGTGTTATATTTGGTGAACAAGTTAGATAAAATTCCATAACTCATCAATATCACCTTTATGTATTAAGTTAACCCCAAATCGATACGAACCAAATTTTAATCTTAAAATTAATCATTTAATTACTTAATCAATTGAAAGTCTCAGTGGATTGACAGCTTGTAGGATAGGGGAGATTCCAGTGTTATATTTGGTGAACAAGTCAGATAAAATTCTTGGCCTGGAGTAGTATGTAAGATCGAGCTGATGGCTGTTAAAGGTAAGGCAACTGCAGATATGCCAGGCTGGGGGAGGGAAGCTGTGTGATCAAACTTGTACGCACCAAGGTTTCATACTATCTGAAATTTGGTAGCAGATTTACCTATATCATTATATACTTGAAACAAGAAATTTCCTAAATCTGAGCCAAGTTCATACCTGAAATCTGCAAATGTTTCTAATTAATACATACTAGAAATGTTCAAACATGCAAAAAAAATTGTGCATCAAATTCCTTCTGCAGTCTTCCTCAGAACTAAACTGACCGATTAAAGACAATCTTTTTACACAACCATTGTTAACATCTTTTAAATTATGATTAAATTACAGTAGCACAAGAATTTTGTGATGATACCAAAACAACCTAATTCACATTATTTCCAGGCCACGTAGACTCTAATTGTGTATCAGAAACTATAGAATCAACAACAGTAAGTTCTTGTCTCTGACAAAGAATGATGAATGTATTCTGTCTGCTCAAGCTCCTTGGCCTAATCTAATATACATGTAAACAAAGTATAAAACCACAACAACCACAGATATTTTAAACACAATGAAATCTGTGTCCAAATTTTGGTTCAAGGTTCATGCAGTAAAAACAAACAACTTCAAAGTTTCTGATGTGGTTCAGTCACTGTGTAATAAAAATATTACCACAACTACATGTAATGCTTTACCCTTGGTGTGGCATAACAGTTACAAATGGTTCCCGGCAGATTGCCACATGGACATGTATAAGATTTTGTCACAGGAATGGCAACAATCTGTGTGACAGAGTTTGTTACACTTGGATGGTTGACAGATTTTGCTACATGTTACAAGATGGCAATGAAAATGTTACCTCCAGTTCTTTAACCTTCATGAGCCATGTAAGTTTGACTCCAGTAAAAACTGCCACATGTATGGGACGGAGAGTTTGTTACAGAATGGCCAGTCTGAGTGACACTGAGTTTGTTACATTAGCCCGGTGACAGAAACGCTACACG